ATTAAATAGACATGCTAACTTAGCTCACTCTAGTTATGATCCTTTTTGCACCTTAGATCACCCCCCCAACCCTTGTTGCATGGAGGTGGAAGTTAATGATAGGAGGAGAAGCTCTGAATTTATTTGATGTAATTGCTTTTGGCATTTCCAAAAATAAGAACTTCACTATGATGTCACCCTCAAAAAATTAAGGTATGTAATTATGCTGACCCCTGACCCCCTGTTCGTTGTGGGATTTCACAGCCCAAATACCAGATACTCTTAACATGTAAAATGGAAGTTTTAACACTTCCAAGTTTAAAGTTTTGACATTTTCAATACAAGAAATTACTCCCCCCGTTTCAAAATATAAGATAAACTTTGTTCGAAGAGATTGGTCTCTTTAATAAGATAACATTCACCTTTATCTAAACATTTAATGCGTCGTTCCAATTTTACCGCTAATATAAATTATATTTCCTCTTTGATTCATTTATTGCATCTTTAACTTATTCTCTTGTTAATAAAGGCATATTTGGGGGAAAAAAATACATGCCTTACATATTTATTGTTTTAAACTGATTTTACCTAATTTCTTGATAAATGTAAATAGATAAAGTTTATTTTATATTTTGAACCCAAGGGAGTAATAAGTTGTAAAATAACTGTCTTTTTCAAAAAGCAGAAAAAAAAGGAAGGAAAAAAACTCAAATTTGATAAAGGCATAAGCTTATTATTAGATCCGTCCCCTTCCCTTCTAAACTGTATAAAGAATCATTACAATCCCTCCCCTCCCTTCCATTGAACCAAAAACACCGTAAAATAATCCAGACGAACCAGTATAATTATAAGGCATCCCTGCTTCCATTATATAGAAAGTCAATAGAGTTTTGTAATTTGGTATAATCATATCATAAATGCATAAAAATATAGGAACTAAACCCAGCACTGACCTTGTACATTGAATACACCGAGTCATCACAGTCTTCACCAGAGGACCAAGGTTTTTATCCACCACAGATCTCTTCATTTCAGTGAACCGACCACGATCAGAGCCAAATGCCATTGATTGATCTTGTAGATCACATTCTCCACCCTGATCACAAATTGGACAGTCCAATGGATGATTCATTAAAAGAAATTCCATCACCCCTTCGCGAGCCTTCTTTGCCAGAGGTGTATCAGTCTTAATCTTCATACCTAATAGTAAAATTAAGAACCGATTAGAAACCAATTAAAGCCAAATCAAATTTGAATTTAAAAATTATAAGCTATCATGAAATCATCAGAGCTTCCCCCCCCCCCCTTCTAATATCTCTAAATTAAAAAGGGAAAAGTAAACCATAACAACCGTGTAATGAAGAAAGAAATAAAACCAATTGAGGGCAGATCAGCATATGATTTGGGGGGAAAAAAGATGACGCGCGCATGCGCCTAGCGGCGTCCGTCTATTAAATAAACGAAGCACAACAAACAGAATAATGATTTCTACATACAGAAATGTTAGCTCAACGTCTGATGGGTTAAATTCAAACCTAAATGCTTAGAAAAAAGGATCCCTGCTTCCCTGCTGTCAATAGCGCTTGCAATGTACAGATAAACTACAAGGCCGCACTCCCCTAAGATAAAGTATACGAATTAAGGCTACAGAGCAAGTACTATACTCAACCGAATGATTAACAGGATGAAATACTAATGACTTGGAAATCGATATTAACTCTCACAATCACCCTGATCATACCAAAAAGTCAAACATTTCATCAACTTATCTGACTCGTCAGGGGTAACAAAATCAACCCAAAAACAAATAAAGTAATAAAATCAACCGAAACAAGACAAAGTTAAAGCTAATAAAGATTGGGAACAAGGCCAAAATTCAGAAAAATATGGGGGGAAAACTAACCAGGAAGAGCAGGCATGGCGCAAGAAGCAACAGGCTTTGGAGACTTCTCTACTTCGACAAGACACATACGGCAGTTCCCGGCGATCGATAGCCGACTGTGATAGCAAAACCGTGGAATATCAACACCCGCAGCCTCACATGCCTGCAGAACAGTCATACCCTTGGGGATTTTGACCGGGTACCCATCAACAAAGACCTCAATGGCGTCATCTGGACTGGGGAAGTGGATTCTAGCTCCGGCGACCGGAGTTCGGGGCGGAAGATCGGCCGGAGCCTGTTCAGGTTGGGCTTGAGCAGCCGCAGCTTCTGGCTTCCGAAGCTCCGGCTTCGTAACTATGGTTCGAAGGAGCAGGTTCCCAGGATTCTGGGAACCCAGGATCTTTGAGGCGGGTCGCACAACCTTGGAAGCTAACGTCCCCAACCTCATTTTCTGCGCGCCTCAATCTCCCTCTTTCAAATCTTTACCTCCTCGAATGTCAAATTTGACGCTTCAAGATTTCTGATCACACTATCACCGTTTTCCCCCCAAAATCTTTAAGATGTTGGCTTTCTGAGATTGAAGAAAAACAGAGATTGCAGAGATACCGAAATTAACAGTCCCTTGCTACCCCATCGATGGATATTCCGGCCTGTACCTGGCTCTGCTTCGAAGTTGTTGATGTTTTTGGTTGAACATAACACGAGTTGCAGTGAGGCCTCAAATAAACAAAATTTTGCGTATGGTTTCAGCAGCCTACAGATTTTTTGCCCCTTCGAACATTTTGGAAGAAGGCTCATTAACCGACTTACACTTGGTGAATATAAAGTTTACACGTCAGCATGAAAATCAAAAAATATAAAGCTTACACGCACAGTTAATACGAGGATCCGACGACTTGTTGAATAATGCTTGTAATTTTGATTGTAATTATCATAATTTATCCTATAATTCTAAATATATCAATGACTTATTCATTAAAATTAAAAATATAAATTAAGTTAGTTATTTATAATAAATATGTTAATTTTTTCAAAATACTCACCCAATCATATACACTAAAACTGATATTATGGATAAAACCCCTTATAGTAAAAATAGTTTGAAAAAAAAAATATAAATTTTAGAGACAGAATACGTTAAAATCTTACAGCTAATTTTTACATTTAAGAGAACAAAGAGCATCTCAAATTTCCGGATTTCAATTTCTTTTTTTTTTTTAAAAAAAAGAACTAAAACTACTGAGAATTTTCTGCTTGTGATAAACAATTCTGTTATGTACAGCTACAACTGCATAAGAATAAACACCGATCACAATTTCTGCTTTTTTTTTTTTTAATTTTCCCTGAGACCACATTCGAGCCAGTTTGGTTATCAAAGGCGCAGAAGACAGGATCTTGTGTATATCTTTCAAGAACTTGACTATCTTAGTAGCTAGGTGAATATTATACCTTATAGGAGTAATCCTTGAAATTCACTGATTATTAGTAATCCCTTATGCAGAGCAAGGTTCCTTTTCCCATAGCTGAGGTGTAGCATGTTTTTGCTTCTTGTTTTTTTTTTTGGCACAACAATTTTAGACATGCAGTTGAGTTCACCCACAAACCCAAAGCAGGGCCCTTGTTCGGTCACACACAACTTTGTTACCTGTCAGTTATACTTTGCACTTTTGGGTACCCTTGATTTACCTAGGCCATTAACTGAGATAAAGCATTAATCACCTTGGAATTAACTCCAAATTCTGTACTTTACCTAAGTATGGGATGCTTTCCCAGTGCCACTATGATCTTGGGGATCAAATTCACTCTTTTTGGGTCCTGTTTGGCAAAGTGGAAGAGTTTCCCTATAAACACGTTTCACGTAAATCGAGACAAAACTCTTCTTATATACTTGTTTTGTATTTCGCAAATCATTATTGAAAAGCTACTTATAGTACCTGTTTGGGAGGGTTTAAGAAATTCCCTATAAGCACATTTCACGTAAGTCGAGACAAAACTCATCTCACATACTTGCTCGTATTCCGTAAATTATTATTGAAAGTTTATTTATAAGCTATTTATAAGCTGTTCCAAACGACCCATAAGCTGTTCCAAACAGGCCCTTGCTGAGCTTGTCCAATCCTTCAACCGTTGTTGCAATTTGCCAAGAATGACAAGAAGAAGATCCAAAACAGATAGTTCTTGTATATAGGCATGGCCAAAAAATATGATGCAATGACTCTTGATCGCACAACCGAAAACACAGGGATGTAACAGGGCGATGCTTCTTAAAAATATGACTCATTTGTCCACGATTCTGCATAGTTGTCTAGCCACCAATATTTGATTCATTTGATGGTTTTTCAAGTTTGAGTATACAAAAGGTCCTTTTTAACAAAGCGCATTTTCCTTCTGGGAGTTCTAACTTCTAAGCAAGAAGTCCATGCATGTTGGAAGCTGACCATAATGAGTTGATTAAGGTTGACCTGGAAGTCTGAGAGCAACTTTGCATTAATTAGAAGCAGTTCCCATTTTTTTCCCTTCCAAATTTATTTATAAGGAGGCAGAGGAATTTATTAAGAAAAAGGAGAGAATTTCTACATTCACCAATGATGGAAGCGACAGTTTCAAAATAAATGCTACTATTAAAGAATTTTTCTTGACGTGTATTCCCCCTCCTTATTTTTATAAACAACAATCACCATTCTTTCCTTATACCTAAATATAAACACTAGCAAGTTCTGTTAAATTGTTGTAGCAAATTTTTTATTTTATCCCGATCAAAAAAATATTTTTAATAATTAATCTATTTATTTTTCATTTCCCAAAACATTATTTTCTAAATAATAAATATTCTGAAAATTATTAATTTAATCTCACTCCATCACATATAATATTTTTTTCATAATTCTCTTTATTATAACAATTTTCTTATTTTTTTATACTCCCTCATAAATAAAGATATTTTTAAAGAAATTTTTTTTAAATTTTCACATATTTATTGTTTTTAACCAATTTAGCCTAACTTTTTAATTTATGTGATTTAGCCTAAAGTTATTTATTAAAAAAGACGAGGAAGTAGCATTTAGACTCAAGGCCTCATTGTTAAACCTTCACGAACTCACCACTGAAATCAGATCAGCCAGTTAAAAGTTTCTAAATATATCGCAATTTCTCTTACCATGGTCGCACAAGAGTAGTAACATTACACATACATTTTGATCATTCCTCAAGTTGCATTTAAATGCCCCGCCATCTTTGGAATAGAAATACGCCCCTTTTCCACATTATCTGTCCGTTCCTCTACTCCCTTCAAGCGTTGTTCTGCTCTTAATTTCAACGTGTTCACAAATGAATCTGGCATTCGTGATTCAAATTGAGACAATAAGAAACTAGGCTAAAATTTATACACGTACCATAATAGGCAGTTACATCGCAACAGGGGCAAAGGAAAAGACTGACGTATCTTAAGACCCTCCTCAAGTTTTTGTTATTCCTCCAGTTCTAGGGAGCTATGCCCTGCTCTGCAAGTTGTGGTAATGACGGCATTCTTACATAGAATTCACATGCACAAGGATGCAGCTCAAATAATTCACATCCTTGAAAAATTCAAATCTAGAAAATTTGACAGTCAAATAACCCCTACTTGATTCAGCCCTAGTCCTCAAATTTTCTGGGCAGGTCTCCCAATCCCCCCCCCCCCAAAAAAAAAAATCAATCCCTCTTCATGGCTTTGGTGATAAAAGCTCTAGTGATTACTATTGCAACGTATGCTAAGATTGTAATGGTGATACCCCCAAACAAAACAAGGCGGTCATAACCCGCATCTTGGATAGTGTACACTTGAATCCCAATTGTGTTCCAATTGCTTTCTGTCCAGACTGGGTCCACAACTCCCATCTCGTCAGATGAATTCGGGGGCAAAACATTCCATACTCCTGATTCATATTTTAATCGCGTTGAATATGCTGGGACATATCTGCAAGGATTACCAATACTTTTTTAATCCGATCAATGCCCATTGGTAGATGGCAGTTCATGATAACGCAGAGATTAAAAAGAGAACAAAAAGATTTTCTAACTTCATATGCAGGATAGATATAACCAATAAGGGAATTAAAAATACACATTAACAAATAGGCTGACCACAGCACCATCACCAATCTCCTGTCATTGAGGATCATAAGTTGCATCAATAAGTATAAAGAAGCAAAATACCTGGTTGTAGAGGCAACACAAACACCCTTCCCGTCAGTCTCTGCTTTAATACAAACTTCATCCCTACTCTTGCAATCTTCTTGACAACCGGTGCTACCATTTTCATTTGAAATAGAGGTTTTGTCAGATAAAAAATTCCAGATAAACCTGGGAACATCGTTAATGTATCCTGGATAGGGGGTAGATGAAGGTTCATCCACGACAACACCAACATAATGGCTAGGACAGGCTGATGAAGGTGAGATATAGCTCTTCACTAATTCACAAGAAAGGCCAGGATCACAGGTTAATAAGCAACCAATAAGTTCTTCGACAAGTGACGCATTTACATTTATAGCAGTTAAAGCTGAATCTCTCGCATCTTCCTTTTCACTAGCAAGAATGTACAGAGTTCGGGCAACAAGAGAAGCAGCTGCAACAATAGCTGATGAATTTACGTTCGCTGCATAAATCAATCAAATGAAAAGACTTGAGTCATGGATATGTGGTGAAAATCATGAGAAAGAAAATTAAAAAAAAAAAACAACCAATATTATAGTCCAGCTCACATATATCATCAAGGTGACTATGGTAGAACTTGTTGGCAAAGACAGCATCAAAATCTTCCACGACAATCCCCGAGATTGCAGGATTCTACTAAAACGAAAAGGCAACACACAAAAGGCAATTGACTTTAGAAAAAGCAACCACTTGACACAAGTATTTAGCAATATTTACCAGTTCAAATGGCGTAAGAGTAAAGTAAAACTAAATAAAATTGGTTTCATAAATTAATGCAAGTCACTATAATTTAAGCTACAAATAAGCGGGCAAAGGGCACTTCTCATATGCACTCATTTAGGGAACTGAAGCCAGCACTTCGTACATAATAAAGGCATTCTGGCAATTAATACAAATACTGATTTTGTTGTGAAGACAAAGTGAAGTTGTGAAACCACTGATTTTGTTTGAATCCGTTGAAATCAATTTATTAACCTTCCTCTGAGTTAAATCTGATTTAGCCGTGGAGAATTGAAGAACCATTCTCTTCAGAGGACCAAGCTGTCACTGCCGAAGGGGAATTGATGAAACAGGAGTCAGAGCTGTCAGCCATCATCTGTGCAAGAGTTGTCGCCGTCCTCCATAGTCCTCACCCAAGTCACCATTATCATCCATCATCCTTATCTTAGTCCTTGCTGTGGTCGTCTTCATCATCCTTAGTGTAGATTCAAGGGGGTAAAATGGTCAAACTAGCGATTCTCAGGAAAGTGGAACCGGGTTCCATGGGTCTGGGCAACAAAGTCAGTTCCATCAAATTTGATGGACCCACCTCCCACATACCAAGGACAGAATAATGGGTCCCATTTCCCTCCAATTCACTGCCACCCAATGGGACATTAAAGGTCCAAGAGATCATCTTAGCTTTGGAATTCAACAATCACTAAGGCCCTATTAGGTCTCTTCACAGGAAATGAATTCCATTTTAAAATTATCAGTTTAAATCACCTTTTTCATTACCTTCCATTTCTCAGACTGTAAGCGATATTAAATTCAATAATGTGAATCACCATGATATGATGATACTTTTAATAATACAGTTGGTATACAAGTAACATTGTCCATATGATCCTTTGACATAAGATTACTGCCGCCTGACATTTTGATGCAGTTGCACTGTGCCCAGTTAGCAGTCCACCGTGTAATATAGAATAGATCTAATAACACTCAGACAATGTCAACCAACCATCTTTAAACAGGAGCATCTTCATGCTGAGTGAAGTTTGCTGGTGGAAGGCCAATCTTGTCCGCTTATACCCCTTTAGATTTTTTTTTTTTTGTTGGAAATCTTTTACTATTAGGGGGGATAAGACTATCATGTTCATAGATTAGGAGGTTAAGTTATTGGAATTACCACCTTAAGAAAGCGGCAATTGAGCCTAAAAAGTTCCTTAAAATCAAAGCCACGAGAAAACTAAACACTAGGGTCAATTGCAATAGGCATGAACACAAAAGGTACTGTCACAAAAAGCTACTAGAAAGGGAGATATGGAGGTAAAGCCAATTTTGCACAATCTAGGACTAAATATGGTGCAAATAGAAACAAGGTGACTGTTGGGGGAAAGCAGTGTCCACAAACTTAGAATCATCAGTATCACTTCATCCTTCTCTTCTGTTTTTACAAATCTTAACATAAAACACCTCCTCCAAAAATTGTCATTCATATAATGGTGTCTTTGGATAATAACGTTCTTATAGGCAAACTAATAGCGGGAAAAAAAGTATCAAACACCTTTTTCAAAAATGTCATGAAGGATGATGGAGGTATCCCAGGATTGGAGTCACTTGGAGAAGCGATCTTAATGTTCTCAGACGGCAATGACTCTTGTGCATGCCTCAAGGCAGCCAATGTCTCATTTGTAGCAGAAGATACCTGCATTGATATGCTATTAGTAATCAGTAAATTTGGCAATATCCTCTATATGAAGCAATTTAAAGAGAAAAATCAGATACCATCTTATTCTTCACATGCATTATATATCAGATGAAGTCATATGGTTAATTATATTGTTTGGCTAGAGGGGCAGCAGGTGGAAGGAACAGAAGGTAAATAAAATTACATGTTTTGAACAGATGAACCACACAAGAACTCAATCCTGAACTATCACTGCAATTCACATCAAGATTCCAGGTTTTACTTGCTCACATTGCATCACAATTCATGTTTTCCATGAAGCAGCAGCAAAATTTGCAAAATAATTGCCATCCCTAACTGGCTATAGAGAATTGAAGTCAAAAATAGCAAAAGTATGAACTATGAAGAAAGTCAGATGCATTGTAATTTCAGCATCATTTAGAAGAGGCATGGATGTACACAAATAGACCAATGAAGACCTCACCCCTGATGTATGAGCAAAAAATCTATGACCACCTTCACTGAAACCCTTTCCAACAGAACCAATTTCAATAACCTGTTAATGTCGCCCAAAAAACCAAGAGTCAGCTAATTAATTAATCACATATACATGAAAACAATGATGAAGTCACAAAAATAATGAGAAAAGAACATCTTACTTTTTTATTTTACAATTAGGAGATGTTATGGGAGTAGAACCCAGACCATGATGGAATTCAAAAAAGCAAAGTTTAATGCCAAACGGGCATTTATAAGGATTCTATTTATTAACTTATAGGTGGGACACAATCACTCTTCAAGACAAACCTGATAGTCATAAACAAGAGCAGAAAAATACCGTCTCAATTTGTGAGTTATTAAGCCCATGGACAGCATCTGAATGCGTGTCAAGCTCAAGCAAAAATCTTCGACTTCCAAGGTAACCCCATGCCTCGCCAGTAAAAACTGCAAAAACAAGCTGCATTTGGGGTTAAGAAAGTATTAGCAACAAAGCTTTGAAAAGTATTAATGGTATGAAGGTAAAATAAATGGTCCTTTTCTATTGACAATATATATATATATATGCTTGAAAATGCAACCCAAGATCATTGTTGGATGACTCAGATTAACAAGTATATCAGATATTACCACTTGCCATCACAAAGGGGCAGAAAAATATTCCAACCACCAATTCAATTCCATGAAGAATAATCCCAGAAAAAATTACAACAAAAACAAGGACAAAGGAGTAAGGATAAGGTTTCAGGTATTTGGATATGGCCTTCATAAAGATGCCAGTATAATCAAGTATTTTAAAACAGCAGCCAGACGAAGCATAAATAGCCATTATAAAATGCACTTCCATTTTCCACAGACCTAAATACAAGCATTTATATGGTCCAAAGTATTTTATTTGCATGCTCAGCATAAGGTATGACAGCAATAAAAAGCTACCAATTGCTGAAGTTTGTTACACTCAAATCATAAAAGCTCAAAAGGATGATCAATCAAATCTCCCACAAATCTAGACAGAACAGTGATAATAATATATGGACCTATCTGTTTGTTTCCTAGGAAAATAGACATCTTAGTAAAATGTTTTCACAAATTTTTTTCCTGAAATACAAGAAAAAGAAGTTCTAACTGTTGAAGAATTTTGAATTCAACTCCCCATCCCTAGTCCACTGATCCTCCCCCTTCTAATGCTAGTCAGTTTCCTCCTTGTTGACAAATCTCTGGATATGCTAATCTTCCATTCTTCCTCAAAACAACATTTCTGAAATCTTATCTAAGCTTCCTCCTGAAGAATATACTCTTTCTGATCCTAATGTCCCCAAAAAGCCTTCATATCCCAAATTCTTAGTCCCCCCTTCACAAACATCAGCTTCATAAATTTATAACCATCACCAACCTATAACAGAACGCTCTTTCTACCAAGATTTAACATTTTAAGGAAAGAATGATGCTGCAGTAAAGAAATGATCAGACACACGATGAGAAGAATGTCTTTGATCAAATCCCGAAAGAAATCCTCTCAAATAAAGCCACTTGGAGCTAGCTAAAATGACAAGGATATGATAGGGTGTGGATAGAAGTCAAGTATTCAAACCCTCCTAATTTAACCCAAAAAAGGGAGCAAATTGAGTGCAAAGTCCAAAAAAGGGCGTAATATGTGAGAGGGAATGTATTTTTACCTGGTGAATGTACAGCTCAACTAATGTATCCAAATTTTATAGGTGAATGTATTTTTCACACCAGCCAAGTTGTAAATTAAAAAAGTGCAATAAATTATGAATTTCTCCTTCAGAAATTTACAACTCAACTGGTGTATTCAAGATTTTCTAATGTGTAAGTAAATGTGTTTTTTACAGTAGTTGAGCGATAAATTAAATAAGTGTGATGATTTATCAGTCTTCCTCCCAAATCTACAAGTCTTCATTCAAAAATTTACAGCTAATGCGCATTCACTGATAAATTACAGATACATCAGTTAAGTTGTAAATTTCTAGAGGATTTGAAAATCTTAAATAATGACTAGTAAATTGTGTGTAAAGATTAGTAATTAATAATATTTAAATTATTAAATATTAAAGCATTAAGATTTCAATTAGATATTATTAAAGCAAATATAATATTTTTAATTACTTAGCAATGTTGCCGGCAATGGTATTTGATAATCACCCAGTAGTCGGTCAAAGTGGCTGGTTAAAAGGGCATTTTCATCTTTACAAGGATAAGATATATCATTAGTCCCTTCGCATTTATTTGTAATTTTTAGGACTTAATTGGTATTAATTATCTTATGGGATACTTATTTGCAATTTTTGAAGGGCTATTTCCATAACTCCTCTGTGAACTAACTATCAAAAGAACAGATGTTTAATGGAGGGGCGACACTGCACCACCTGATAGTTTAGGATACAATGCCCCTGAGAGAATAGTTTAAGGGCACAAATGCCCTTTAGCCCTCTAATAAAAAATTTCCTAAATATATTTTAAATTAAAAATCGACAATAAGCATGATCTAAAGCATCAGTGTGGTTACATTTGCAATGACATATGTGAGCGGGTTGCAGAAAATATATACTTTCAAATAACATTCTTTTATCTTTTTATGAATAATTGATGTAAAACTTAGACATTTAGAAAAACACTGCCGCAAGAAATTTTCTTTCAGAAGAAAACAAACACACATATAGAAGTTAGTTTTTCTAAGGAAATCAACGATCATAAAACAAACAGAAACATAACTGACAAGAAAGATTTTACCCTAAAAATTCCTTACAAGGAAAACCCATAACATATAGGGAAAATCTGAAGTTCATCAAGCTCAATGACAACAGAAAAATTAAGTAACAGAATAAGCAGCATAATTCACCTGTTTAGTAAGGTCACCAAGACCATTCACATGCGAGAGAGCATCAACCGCTGCCAGCAATGCAATCAAGCCCTGCAAAAAGTTGGTACATCACATTATTGATTTAGGAATTATTAAAGATTATAAACTATAAAACTCCATTTATAGTTGCATTTTTGGACCATACATAAATAAACTAAGTTCAGCAACTAATTCACAAATACTTGCACTTACAGAAATAGGAGACTCTGCCCCAAGGCTCTTGTCCCGAAAAAATGAAGCAGAATCCATTGATGCCATTGTCAGTATTATGGGTTTAGAATGGTCAAAGGATGAAATGTTGATTGGTGGAAGTGATGACCAGACACTGCCTTTCATATGAAACATACAAAAAGTTAAAATTAAGGAAGGGGTGAACTAGCATGGAAGGGGTCAGGTCATTGAAATATTCTATATAAAGCTTCTAGACATTCTACCATATGAAAGACATTATGCTTAATCTCATCTGCTTTGATGACAATATCTTTTTATTCAATTGTGGATACTATTTCTTCAGACTCAAATAACTCAGTGTTTCGAGTACATAAACTCCAAGTTCTTTATTGTTGCAACTAAGATCTTATTGCAGAACATCCACACATCTGAGGAGAAAACAAGAAAGAAAGAAAGAAAGAAAAGGATGAGACAATCAATTAGCAACACTGTCAAGTCTCTTTGCCTTTAAATATTCCATGTGTAAGCAATATTCCAGCACAAGTCATTATATTGCAAATTAGAACTCCAGATGTCATGCTTTGAGCAAGTACCAAGCTTGTTTCTAGCTAATAATCCTGAATATGGGATATTCTTAGCCTAGTTTATATTTTCTTTAATGTTTAGCCGATCCATCAGGAACCATGTCTATGTCTAGCGACCAGAGCACATGTGTGTTTTCTTCTGAGTTTGTTTTTCCTTGCATGTTACTTCATTTAGGATTATTCTTTACCCTCCATTGCCAGGCTTTCATTGACAAATTATTTCATTTGAAAAAAGCTTTACAAATGGACAAGCAGCCTTAGGCGTAAGTTACCAAAATGATGGCCCTAATCCAAAAATATATATCACAACCACATTCGCAAGTTAACAAGAAAGCATAGGATAGAGTAGATTCTAAAAACTTCACCTGTATCCACCTAAAGGAAGGCAAGTCGCTTCTTTCAAACAAGACTCTGAACCATGATTTCCAGATTTCGTTACCTAAACAAAATTACCAGAATAACAAAATTCAATCATTTGTAGTTTTCCTATATGTGCTAGAGGAAAACACCTCTAAAGAATCTGGATATACCTGCATCACCAGATCAAACTCAGCCACATTAGCTGTATAACCTTTCCTGTTGTTCTCATTCTTAGTTGCAACCTGTATGAACAGGTAAAAGAGAACCAAACTTGTTAAATAAAAAATTCTTATAATAGCCCAGGAATATCAGCATTAATTAAATAATTAGGTGAAATATCAATGCAGATGATATGACCCAAAATGTATACACATTGTTCAGCAGCCTAGAAAAATTAACCCAACACTTAAGAAATCCCAAAATCAACAATTTAAAGGAAAACAAAGGTCAAAGATGACCACAGCAAGTATTTGATTTCATCATCAAACACAATCACAGTATCACACTAATGCAATTGAACACTTTTCAAACATTATACCCCTAATAATAGTTTAACTGAAGCCACGACTCTTTTGGCATTCAAGATCTCAAGTGGACAAGAACTTGCCGATCTTTTAGAGTTTGTAACGCCTACAATCATGAGCTGCTAAGTAAACTACAACAGAGAAAATATTAGAAGAACTAGCTTAAATATCTTTTACCATCTAAACATTTATATTTGTGACAAAGTTTGGCTCACTTGGTTTCTAAGGACCCACAAGGACCATGGCAGAAGGACTAGCTTAAATATCTTTTACCATCTGAACATTTATATTTGCGAGGAAGTTTGGCTAACTTGGTTTCTAAGGACCAACAAGGACCATGGCAAACCCTGTCGCTTAAATAAATGCTTAGAAAAGCATTTATAGATCATTTACCAACAAGCTTCTCACATTAACAATGAAACTTGAACCCACACTTTCGAGGGATATGGACCTAGTCCATGCAATCTAAACATTTTAAACATTAGTGAAGGCCCAAGAATGCAATGGAACTACAGCACGAACCCACACTTGACATTTCTTAGGGTTTGGAAGATGGATAGATCACGAACTACAAAAGTATCACTACTCCACCGCCATATATAAAATGTAACTTGACTATAGAATGTTAAAATGCGGATCCTTGACTGCTTAAATAAATAGCCTTCAATACCATGTGTAGGAACCCCCTCCCCTCAACATGGTTCCAAACAGTAAATATCTTAAGGGAAACAAAATCATTTCCAAAATAAGACTGAACACTGTATCAAATTGGAACAAACTGAAGTTATTAGACCATCAGCAGTACCACACTATAAAATAATAAGTGACTCAGCCTTACCTCATGAAGAGTCTCGGTGCTACCATCTGAGAGTAGGAAAACAGGAAAATTGTAGGATTTCCACATGATACCAGAACCCTGAAGAAGTTGAGCGGGGAAAATAAAATGAATGGACAATTATAAATGACTCATTGAATCATTGTGCTGTTTCAGGACCACATTAGCATCAGCAGATATCCAGCTTAGATAGTCTGTATTCCAAGCATAAACATTGAAAAAGTAATCCGGAATAAATTTGTGTCATCCACAAGTGTTTTATTTAAGATAAAAAATTTATTTTGCTTATTTTACAACAGAGCCACCTGATTTACCAGAATGTGCTAGAAAAAATCATAAAGAAGAACTTGAAGATCAAGACCTCTTTCACAACCAGAGTACAAGCTAATGTCAAGTTGTGCATTGTGATACAAATATGCAAGTCTGGATAAAAAGTCTTATCGTACAGTTGGATTCCATTGATGTCCAGTGTTATGGTAAGGAGCAAATTCAACTTGTGGAAACTTTAGTTCTGGAGAGAATCCTACAAGTGACAAAATAAAAACTATTATAAGCAACTTACCATTGCTTCATCATATTGAATGAGTAAAAAGAAAGTTAATTACCTTTCAACTTATTCTGCACTCCAGCTCCTGACTCAACAAGCACACCCGCAACCTTACTTGCAAAGCTTGAATCACCAGATATTCTGAAAGAGAAATTCATGCTCAACAAATGGGCATAATTTCATAAATGGTAGATGAATATACGCTTTTTTCTTTTTAAAAAAAGGGGGATAACAAAAACTACTCAAACACAACCATGCAAGGAATTTCTTTGGATGGCAGAAAATATCTTCCACGACTTTATTTTGAAATTCCTAACAGAAAATTTAAAATATCATTGATCAATCCACATAAGATAGCCTTGAGTCAAAGATATCAACAACTATTGATTTTACAGGGCAATAAGCAGTTATTGAACCCCAATAATTAGCTTATCCAGAATATTCTTTCCAAGAAAGTCATTGATCTTAAATTTCAAGAATTCACTTCTATTTTTTGTTAAAGAGGTCGGAGTTGAGAGGAATATTCAGTAGTCTAAGTTTTTCAAGTATAAATAATATAATTAGTCTCTAGGCTCTTCAAATATACTATATTTAAAAGGACCAACAAGAACTATCTTATACATGGTGCGGGGTGCATAAGATTATAACAAACACAAACAATGTCCAAAATAAAAGAGAAAGAAAATGACAAATTGAAAAGGAAAAGCTAGTTTGCAGCTCATGAAGATATACTCCCATGACACACCAATCAAGGATGTCATCAGATAGCACAATTTAGATCGAAGAATAGGAAATACAAGGCATGAAAAGGAAAAGTTCCACAGTGGATCTATATCAAAATATGATATACATGCCTTGTTAAGAGACTTTCAAACTCATCCAATGACACCAATATAGCAGATGACTTTGATAGCTGATTAGCATTTTTGAATGTCACTATCGGGGCAACAACCTTGTCTCGTCCAGGATCTAAGCAATACAGTAAGGGAAGAAGAATGCACCAGATTGTTATCACAATGACATCTAATTGTATTAAGCATTGCAGATAATGTACGAAATAAGAGAAGTTTCAGCGGAGACTCACTGGAACAACCAATAGGTCCAGAAAGACTTAGTAACCGCACACAAGGATATCCATCAACTACCTTGTACATAGACTTCTGAAGATCAGGAACTGATTCCATGGAGTTAGATTGCCCTGAATTGTACCAGAAATGGAACAGGACATATCAGCAAATTATATTACAGAACTTTAAAGAAATAGAAGAGAAAGCAGATAACTAGCTGTTTCATAATAAAAATTACTCATGCTGGGCTAAGCATTAAAAGTGAGAAGGCAGTCATTTTGTAATTAGGCAAAGGAAACAAGCATTCCACATGATCAATTGAAGTTAGTTATGAGGAGATTTGATACTAGACGCTCCAGTATACTGAGTCACAAATGGTTGGCCGAAAAAGAAAATACTGAGTCACAAATGGAATAGTTGAACTATTTTTTTCTCTCTAATCTCCATACCTCTTCTTCTCTACCCATCACCATTTTCAAATCCTAACAACGGTACTAAAGGGGGCAATTCACGGATCTATGGTGGAAGCAACCAGATGCTAGCGTCAATAATAGACATAGAACAATGATGGAAGAGTGCAATGGAAAAGCATGAAGCTCAGCAGGGGAACAAATTGGAGGTGTTAGCAGACAAGGATGTTCAAATCAAGAATCAGATCAACAACTTGCAAGAGATGCTAAAAGGCCTTTCACTATTGGACACCATACTAATGCGTGAACAGAGACAAGTACTATTAGTACATAAGTCAAGAAAATTAGCCACATCTATATCAAAATTTAAAGGAATTGTACGAACAAAAGCATAGAAGTTTAATCGCACTTAGGATCACATTCATTAGTAAAAGAACGAACTCTAGAATGCTATCGTTAGACACAGTTTAAACAGTTTGTTATAAAGCTTCAACTGTTATCATTATGCTCAAAGTCCACAGTGGCTTTATCCTTCTACAATCAAATAATATGAGCTACAATAACTTTAAAATAAGGATATGAGCGAGGAGTTTTGCGACTGCATTAGTGAGCCTAATGGTCCGAAGCGCGAAAAAAATATCGCTCTATGTCTCAGAAACCAAAATCCCGTCTATTAAAAAGAAACTGGAGACGAGGTATAAGAACGTGTAGTTACATTGATAGAAAGACATAGGGAATAAGCCCATAGAAGTGCTAATTTAGAATAACTTCTGCATCTTCCAGCACCTAGACCAGGTTTCTGCTCAAATATCGTTACGCCAATTTTTACTCAGGGTTAAAAGTATAATAGGAGATTTATCCCAAAAATAAATAAAAAAGCAAGCAGGATTAGAGACCAAATCATTCAAGCAGAATGGCCACTGTAGATTGAATAAGCCAGAAATTGATACCAGAAAAGGACAGGCGGACGCCAAAGCAAAGGAGCAAGCACAGAGACAGAAACGTTGAGGCCATGGCAAGAATCTTTTGATACGGGAAATCCTCGGAAGCCGTAGTCCTAGACCATGGAAGAGTGATTAAGGAAGACTGGGGCACAGGAGGCCCTCCTGCGCGCGGTTTTTCTTCTTCGCCAGTAAACCCAGGGACATTCGCCGCGCTGAGGGCAATTAGACCAAAGCTAACCCAGTGGCTTGGGTTCAGCTTCGACTTTCGAAGTTGAGTTATGGTCGGAAGTCCAAACCATGAGATCCATTTGGTCAACCAAAAGCAAAACATTCTGGCAATAAAAAAAATCATTCTCATAATTTAATAAAAAATTTGATTAGAAATTAACTGATAATTCATATATTTTTAAATGGTTTTGATTTTGATTCTTAAAGTTAAAGTTAAACTCAAACCAAGTTTTTTTCCCAGAAAAATCAAATGGTTATTAAACTATGAGAATTAAAACTAAAATTTAATAATTATAAATACGAACAATAATATATTAATCAGGAAACAAACACAAAACCAAAACACAGTATTCTTCATGTTAAAACTTGTAAAAATTTGTGTGGCTTGGATGTTGTCCTTGGTGCTTGTTTAGATTATTAGTGAAAAGTTGATTTTGTACGAAATAAAAAGATACAAAAGAAATTTTATCTTCTGAAATATAAAAACACTTATTTTAAGGAGGTGTTTGAATATTTTCAGAAAAGTTTTTTAAATTCAGAAAAGTTTTTTATAGACATTTTTTTATGAGATAATCTTCTCTGTATATTTATTTCATATATTATAAAATTATTTCTAAAATTATTGTTTAGTTTCCATCTAAATAGTCTAAGCTAACGTTAATAGTATGAAATTGCAAAAACTTCCTGATGTAGCCAACAAAATTGTAAAAATTTGTTTTCATTTTTTAACATAGTCCTTATATAAAGTAACAACGTGGTTTCAAGATTCATGACCATGAGTGCATCATTTAAAAAAAAAAAAAAAAAAGGAAATCACACATTGAGCGGGACAGGACACTAATTTAAGGGGGGACCGGCGTGAACTAGTGCTAATTAAATTGGAATGTTATAAATTTTAAGAAGAATTATAATAAGGCCTTTAAAACAAATAATTACTAGGAAATTCTAATGACAACCTAAACACTTTGTAATGACACTTATTTTATAACTTTTTTTAGGACCTCATGGTAATTTTTTCTAAATTTTATAATAAATATATAAAATTAAAAAAATTCAACTAAGCTTATAATAAAATTAAATAAAACTTAAAAGTGGAGAATCCCATATGAAAATTGAAAAATTTAACCAAACAGTATTTTTTTCCAACGACAAAGTGGTCTTTTTTTTTTTTTTTACATTGTAATACTACCTCTAATTCTTAATATAAGAGCTACGTGATTAATTTGAGTAAATTAATAAAATTAGTTAAGTTAGCTAGTTGTAATACATAAATGTTGTATTTCTTAAAATATCCTTTCTAATCATGTGTATTTGCTATTTGATAAAATATTTAACATATATAACTGTTACAAAAACTAACTTGGAGAAAATGGATAAATATGAAAAATAAAATGGATTTGGATTTTATACTTATAACCAAATTAAAAATCAAAATAGGTCTTATATTAAAAAATGGAGTTAGTATGTTGTTAAAAATAACTAGTTGTGAAAAAAATATGATGAGATTTCATGTTTAAAATCTTAAGGTAAAATAATATTTTTTTGTTGGAAAAAAATATTTTTCTAAAAACATATTTAATCTTATATTTTATAATACATATAAACAGATTAATTATTTATTAATTACATTTTTATATATTATTTATTATGTTAGCAAAAAAAATATTATTAACAAATTTATTACTCCAAATAAAAATATATTATAAAGTCTATAAATTATATAATTATCATATTAACTTATGTCTTTTTAATAATTTGCGTATATAAAAAGTGTTTCTGATAACAATTATATAAATATTCTCACTTTATTAAAATCACTTTTTCAAAAAAATCTATTCTTCCAAAATTGATTCTAAAAATAACCTTTTTCCTAAAAGCTATTTTTTAACTGTGATTTTATTTTATCCAAACACCCCAAACTTTTATATTAAGGATTAAAGGTAGTATTACAATGTGAAAAAAAAAGACCACATTTTCAAAAGGTAACTTTTTTTTTTACCTTTTCACGACACCATGATTTTGGAGGCCAAAATGAAAACCAAACTATGGTTTTTAGAAATGATTTTAAGGAATACGAAATAAATATGTAGAGAAATTTATTTCAATTTGCAAAAAAATATTTTTAAAAAGTACTTTTGAGGATATCTAAACACTCCCTAAAAAATTTGCCTATTAATGTTGTCTAGCCAAAACCATGATTTGAGGTGAAAAAGTACTTCTTCTTTTTTAATTGCCAAACATCCCAAATTTTAAAAATATTTTTATAATATATGAAGTAAATATATGAAGGAGTTAAAAAGTGATGTTAAAAAGCATCTTTTATAAAAGGAAAAATTATGCACAGGTCCCAAGGAAGATATTTTATTCATCTATGGTCCCACAAAATATCCAAATTATTAGCAGGTCCCAAGAGACCTTAGAGTATTATATTTTAATTGTAAAATGACATCACTACCCTTCAGATTCCCAATTTACATTTTCTCTGCCATTGTGATTGACAATCTTAGCAACAACTATTAACAACATAATAAGAAGGTGTTAATAATCTAAGCAGTATCCGTTGATAACTTATTTTATAGAATCACGTAATCTCCACATAAGAGTAAATTACAACCAAATAGTATAATGCAACAACTTTAATACTGAAATAAAAAGCTTCTTGGAACCATTAAAAATTTTAACTAAACCCAATAGGATTATAGCAAAATTTTAATATGAAAATCCATTGACAACCTCAACAGCGAGTATTAATAACCCAAGGGAAACTGTTGACAACTTAAGTAGTGTCTGTTAACAACTGTCAATGGATTTCTGCATTAAGATTTTGCTATAATCCTACTGGCTTTAGTTAAAGTTCTTAATAGTTTTGAAAAGCTTTTCATTTCACTGTTAAAGTTGTTGCATTATATTATTTAGTTATAATTTACTCTTATATGAAGGTTATGTGATCTTATAAAATAAGTTGATAATATATATTGCTTAGGTTGTCAATACTTTCTCATTGGGTTGTTAATAGTCGCTGTTGAGGTTGTCAATCGCAATGACAGAGAAAATGTGAATTGAAAATTTGAGAAGTAGTTCCGGGTGTTCAACACCCGCTCATCTTGGAATTTTTCGGAACGGGACAAACGAGGAGGGGACAAAAAAAGAAACCGGGACAAGACACGGGACAGGGTCGTCCCGTCCTGATCCCTTTTATTTTTTTTAAATTTTTAATTATATTTATATAATATCATTTTTTTTAAGATTTCAAACTATTGTATGGAACTATGAACCCATTTATTTAAAGCTTTTATATTTGTTGATGATTTGAGACTATTGATTATTAGAAGTTTTAACAAGTTTTTATTGTGTTTAAAGCTTTTATTAGAATTTTTAATAACTATTATATGTAATATTTTAGGCTTTTATTTAAACGTGCCCAAAGAAATAAAAAAGAAAACAAAAAGATGTTTTTACAAGGGCTAAATCCAAAAATTACAATTAGAAAAAAATCAGATTTTATTGTGCTCAACAACTCAAAAAAAAATAAAAAAAAAAATTAAATCAGGACCTGATCGAGACTGGGACAACACTGGAACAAGACGAAACATGGGACAACAAAGTTGGCTGATGCTATTTATCAGGATGAAATTGGGACAAGCCTGTCCCGTTCCCGATCTCGATCCATCCTGTGAATAGCCATAGTAATATTATTTTATAATTAAAATATAATACTCTATGATCTTTTGAGACCTGTTAGTGATATTTCATAAGACTTTTGATGAATAAAATCTCTTCTATAAGCCTGTACGAAATTTTTTGCTTTATAAAACCCAAACATCCCCTCAAACAAAAGCGGCTTAAACCCTTCCTTCTCTCGTCTCCTGGCGTCCCCTTGCGGCCCTCTCCATCACTATTCCGGTCTCCATTCAGTCGAGAGCTTCGCATCGGCGCTCCGCCGCTTGATTTGGTCTTCGTCCCTCAGCTTCTGTTCTTTCCTCGGCTTTGCCTCGGCTCCGTCTTCAGTTCGTCACTCCTCCTGAAAGCTGCTTTTTAGGTGCGTGGTGTTGCTTTCACTCTCTCTGTAAATTAAATGTATATGAGGATGACTATATCTTCGTAGGCTTCAGATTTAAGTAGGCAATTGATAGAATGTGCATTTATTACACACGCACGCGTAATGGTCTTATGAACATTGAATATGATGACAGCAGAAAGCAATGAGGAAGCTGAAGTTTCATGAGAAGAAGCTATTGAAGAAGGTAAATTTCTTAGAGTGGAAGAGAGAAGGAGGTCACAGAGAAAATCATGTTATGCAACGCTATCGTATTACTGGACGTGATGATTACAAGAAGTACTATTCTTTATTACATTATATTTCTCGTTGTTCTGAATTTGGATAATTCACTGTCTTTGAAATTAACTAATGCAATTCATTATTTTGGCCATTGGGATGGTGAAACTACCAATAGATATTCAAGTCTGTGCCGGATGGTCCAAAAGTTAGTAAACATGCTGAAGCAAATGGACCCAAAAGATCCGTTTCGTGTTGAGATGACTGACAAGCTGTTAGAGAAGCTGTAAGTTTTATTAGCTATGAAATTTCCAAATTTTGACTGGTAAACTGACTTAAGCTGCATGTGATATTGTTTCTTATTTGGTAGGATTGAATCAGTATGTGTTTGTGTGTTTGTTAATGTTGGTTTAGGATTCCTTATTCATCAATATGTCATTCATTAGTTTCATTTCAACTTTTTGGCTTCTGCCGCATGCATTTGGAATTTGGATTACCAAAATTTATCGTGAACATGGCTGCAAATTGCATGCCAGTTGTTGCGCAATTTGTGACTGAAAAACTCTAATTTGTCTCTCACAACTCACTTCTTCACTAAGCCTAGGTAGGCAGAAGGAAGGCATGGGTTGCTGGTAATAGATAGTCTTGTTTTGAGTTTTAGGGATTCCTAAAATGTTGGAAGCGGTAGCTGTAAAGCTGATGTCTATGGCAGTTTTTGTAGAGGTACTGTTGACTTGTGATTGTGGAGGTGGCAGAGGTCATAGTGGGGTGTTGGAGGTGGATAATGGCGATAAATGAAAGTGAGCGCATTAACCAGGGGATGTGTGTTGTCATATGCTTGAGAGATCAATATATAAAATCTAATAAATAATTGCACTATTCATAGCTTATGAATAGTGTGATATGTTTTGGGCTCTGCTACGCGCAGCCCCATATCAAGTTTAACCAAAGACATAACCATATATAATTGTTGGAATGGAGAAGTACCCGATTTATTTGGATTATTGTTCGATCCATATCCTGGAGTAATCTAGTTAGTTAGAAAAAAAATTTCTTTGTCCCTTGTACTTTTGCTGGTTTACTGGATATTTTTAATCTTGTAGTTGAATTTGTTTGTTCTTTTTGACATTTTAGGATTGAGTGTGGGCGTAGATATTCATTATTTTCATTCTTTAACTGTTTGAGTTCAGAACAGTTTTTGATGTATCACTCCTACTGCTCTGGTTTATTAATTGTCTCATTGGAACACGTTTCCTACCACCAACATTTTGCAATGCAGAGAACCAATACTTATTCTCTCTCTCTCTCTCGTGAGAATGATAGGTACAATATTGGTGTGATTCCAACGAGGCAAAGTATTACACTTTGTGAGCGGTTAACAGTGTCATCCTTTTGTAGGTAAGAAAACCATCTTATTCCTTCGTTATTTTAAATGAAAAATTAATTGTTATTTTGTGATTGTTCTCCAAAAATTCCGGACGATTATGTAGCAAGAGAATGAAAGGGAGTTGATTTTAATGTTTAGAACAATTTTAGTCATGTTTAGAAAGAAAAAGGTATTATGATATGGTAGCATCTGTTAAAAGGTGTAATCTGAGGCTTAGTGTGTCCAGGAATGCAAGAAGACCTAAAAGGCAGGTTTTATATATCAATAAATGTGGAATTATGAGATAGACGTTTTTTCTTTCAGTGCTTTTCTTCTTCTTCTTCTTCTTCTTCTTTTTTTAACTCCACACTAATCCAAGTCAGTTATGTTTCACAAATCTGATAAAAGAAATAATAGCAAGGAAAGATTATGCAAATGCAGAGCATAGGGTATCCTAATATCCTCCAAAAGGAAATGACTGAACGCCTAAAATTATACTATTTCAGGTCCTAAATATAACATCTAGTTTGTAGTGTAAGGTTGGAGGTAGTAAGATAGAGATTAAAAGATAAATATGCAGCAAAGCTACCTAATCTTTCTTCATATCTAGCAGACTGCAGACACACCCCCATTATAAAGGCCCTTGGCCAAATATCATATAAAAGCTAAATTCATTATCCTAGCCCTTGAGGTAAACACCATTTAAAATGTGTGCTCTCCGCTTTGATCAAATATCCCCATATGTTGGGAAAATTGTGCATTGCCACGATGTTCTACCCTCCTTTAATCCAGAAACCTGGAACTATCTAATGAGTATCCCTCTGACACACCTATCTCTAGCTGACTCCGAACAAACAAACTTATTTCGGGAGTGGTAATGGCAGTGTAGTGTGAACTTCAGCTTCTGCATTGTTCATGCACGTGTTACCAATATTTTAGGAGGAACAACTGTGGAATGTCTGCAAATGAATATGCCTTTTGTATTGACTTTATTGAGTGTTGCTGTCCAAATAGACACCTTTATCTCTTATTACAAAGGAAACACAAGGTCTCAAGACTGGGATTAGGGAGTGACAAAGTGGGGTAGGGAAATGAAACCTTGTGCATCTTCTTTATAAATGAAGGCTAATTACGATTAACATGTAACCTAGAATAACATTATAAAATGAGACTAAGATTCCAATGTAATATTTAAATTAATGATATTGCTCCTAGTAATGATGCCTAAAGAAAAACATTCATTTTGTTTCCGTCTTTTACATATTTTTCCCTCTTAAATTACGAATATTACAGGGAATATTCATCACCCTTCTTACTGATAGAACCCCACCAAATACATTTTGAGATTATTAAGCTGCTCTAATTTACTTTCTTATAATTTTTTTAAAAAAAACTTTTGTAGGCGAAGGCTTGCAACTGTTTTGGTGCGATTAAAATTTGCTGAGCAGTTGAAAGAAGCTGTCACTTACATTGAACAAGGGCATATAAGAGTTGGTCCAGAGACAGTCACTGACCCAGCATTCTTGGTGACCAGAAATATGGAAGACTTCATCACCTGGGTGGATTCTTCAAAGATAAAGAGAAAGGTTCTACAGTACAATGACAAATTGGATGACTATGATCTAATGAACTGAGTGCTGATAATGGTGCATGGATTTCGACACCGCCAGAACATAGTGGCCAGCTACTTCGGAGATGAACCGTCAGTTCTTTATTTTATTTTTTTCCCCAAAAGGAGCACGACGTATTTCTAGTATTCGGATGGATGGAGTAAGAATTCAATTCCCCGGTGGTGTGTTATTTTCTAGCAGATAAGCATGTGTACGAAGTGAAATCATGACAAAAATTCGTTATTTGAATAAGCTGCCTAATATAGATGGGATTAAAAGGGCTTTTTAATCTATTTTTGTAGGAGTATTAGGTGTCTTAAATGCAGTGTTGTCTTTTTTTATTTAAAAAAAAAAAAACGATGTAATGTCACCTCTACTGTTCAATGGTAGCTAACTTCTGTTATCAACGTAGCATGTAATGTCACCTCTACTGTTCAATAGTAGCTCACTTCTGTTATCAACGTAGCATGGGGTCCGCTTTTTTTTTTCCCCCAAAATACCTACTCGGTTTCTCCTCTTCCTCCTATTGACGGTAACGCACTTCACTGGCAATATTAGTGGTGAATATCTCATGCAACAACTAACTAGCCTTTCTCCTTCCTCCCTCCGCAGTAACTCGAACTCGAGGATTTCAAGCCCATCATTGCTAAAAAAATATTTGGACCATCCAAAGTCAATGAGGTAATTGATCCCTAGAATTTGACCAAACTTGCTTTTTCTGCTGGTTAAAAGAAAAACATTTTCCCCTCGCTCTTCAATTTGCGAACCATTCTAATTAAAGCCTGTTTCCCATCTCCCATGGAGAACATATGCGCCGTACAATTTATGGCAACGTTGATTGGATGCGGTTGGGTTGCATCTCCTAATCTTTAATGCCGCTTATGTGAATCACTAAAACGCTGAACGATTAGAAGAAAACCCAGGTGCTCCAAAATTTCTTCCAAAAATAAATTACTTTGAAGAACATTCAACAATCTATATTCTGGCATGGTTCGTCACCTGCCATATCTCATACAGCAAGATGAAACTGACTCCCTTTGTTAAAATTCCAGCAAAAAGATAAGCAGCAAGCATGACAGACATTAAGCTCTGAACTAGAGAGGCTAGCATACAGCGGTTTGGATTTTCCACATTCACAAAAATAGATGGAAGGAAGGTAAGAATTTTCCTGGAAAGAAGTGACGAATGCCCTCTTTCTCTGGATATGTGAGTGCAAAGAATCTGATTTAAGCATAGAATCGCCTCTTTGGGGGAATGCTGATTCAACTATCACAACCCAAAGTCAAGTTCAGCTCGTTTCAACACAGCAGTTACTCTATTGTAGAATTCTGGTTCTTCTTTCTTTATATCATCTATTGTCCGTGACTCATGCTCATCCGCCTGAACAGATAAAGAACTAAATTATCCATCTAAATAGTTTAAAGCAATGCGAAACAGAGATCAAGGCATCATCTAAAAAAGGTTATCTTCGCAATGATTTTGACAACTCTGGTGCAAGGGCGAAGAAAGAGCCACGGCAACGAGACAGCGCCGAAAGAGTGCACTCTTGTCCACAAAAAACCCAGACATCTAATTTTTTCAGCCACTATTTCCCAATTTAGCAATCAGGTGTTTCACAGCTATAATTTCCCAAATGAAGTTGCATATGATTAGTTGTATTTTTCAACAATACCCAGAATCTGATCATTGGTTATAGCTAATCGGACATGATTTTGAATTTTTCATATATCAACGGCCAACTAATCTTCTAAATAAATTCCCATGACCTCACCATAAAATATTCTAGGAACGTATGAAATCCAGAGGTCCACTTTGCAAGTAGCACCTTAGTAACAAATGATGCTGAGTCCAGAAAAGTCAAATTCCGTGCTTGTATTGGCAGTGCCTTCCAGAGCTCTTTCTATTTAAATATGGCGTGTATGTAGATAGACATGCATAGAATGAATAGGCATTCAAAACAAAATAAAGCTGTCACTTGCAGGATGGCAGTTAATTACCTCCTTGAATTTTAAAAGAATTAGATTTGAAACAGTGGCTGGTTTTGTGCAATCCCACCTGAACAGCCGAAGCAGAAAACATTTAAATGAGTTCGAGTCACCAACTACACATGAAAATTTTATAGTAAAAAAGAGAGAAAGTGATTAAAATGTGGTGTAACATTCAGTTGTCATCCATCCATACAGCACTAAAGCTTTTAGACCTCACTTTCTTTCTTTCTTTTGTCCCTTTTTTTTTTTTTTTTGGGGGGGGGGGGGAGTGTTTCAAGTGTTTGCGTGACATGGGCATTAATATTTTCAGCATGTGTAGTTCGATAGAAAATTACACTGTCAGTTCAAGACTTCAGAATCCTACAGATACGCCACCAGAGCACCTCAGGGGGTGCAGAATTAGAGTGGGTGTATGCAAATTAAAAGGAATTGGTCTTGCGTTCAAGAGAAAGAACGCAAGTAATTGAATAAAGATATCAAAATGACACAGCTAAAGTACAACAGAGTCATTTTTTTTTTTACCTCACAAGCATCAATTCATTAACTGATCGCCACATCGCTCGGCCAACATGTTTTGCAAACTGCTCCCTAGCACTTCTTCCATGCCATAATTCTTTGGCAATATACATCACCTCTTCCACATCCACCTTTGAAGTGGGAATAAAGACAACAGAGGATAGAAAACATGTGTAACTCTTTCCAGTGGATAATTAAACAATTAAACAATCAAATATATATCTGTAGAACTAAACACAGGCATTTCCACAAAAAATTAGATGAAATCGTCATAGTAGTATTTAACTGCAGCCTTGCAGAATGCACAAAGACCACGTATTGAGGCATGCCAGCTGTTTTAAGAATCATTTAAATGTCCATTCATAATAGTACATTCACAACTTTACTTTAAATGGAAGAAATTCCGCTAAGGAGGACAGTAAAATATTACTTGATGGATAAACTGCCCTCGAAAAGAATAACAGGAAAAGCTCATAACAAAACCAAAGGAGCAAAAGGCTAGAATAGCTCATAAAAGCCAGAAAGCTTGTCAACCTCTGCATGTCAAAACATATTTCCTCATTTACCCTTTTGCAAAGCACTGATGGGAAGCCATATCAGAAATCCTATCCCATACTTATGTAGGGGTAATGGTATGCCCTTGGTGATGCAGGCGTTTCTACCAACCACATAAACAAAAGTATCCTGTAAACTGCAAATTGCTGGTCGCTTAAGTATCATTTATTTTATTGTTTGGAACACCCCCCCCCAAAGGGGCATGCCAGCAATGGCATTTCAATTTCTCTAGCATTAGCTCAATTGCAACTCCTTCAATTTTGAACTGCTTGTTCAAAAGCCAAAGATATCAGCGCTTGTGGAACTCAGCCAATTATATCTCAATTTTAACATCTTTAACACACTCTTCAGAAAATCATGGCAGCATTGGCGTCCCAATTATGTCACTTTTTTGCCATCCCATTTTAGTTTTTAACCCGGTAAATACTTTGAATCAAGCCTTTCAACCTACCAAGAGGGGCCTAAATCCCTTATTCTCACAAAAGCTGAAAGCCCCACTTGAAATGATTGTGTTAAAAAAAAAAAAAAAAGAAGACAGATTGTACAAGTAATAACACAAAAATACACGTTTCAAGAAACACAATGGTTTATACGTACAGAGAAGGAAATATGAATATATAAATTATTCAGATGCCCCGCTGTCCACCCATTCCTAGCATGGATAAGTTACCCAACAATAAACTTCTATAATTTGACCAGATGTTAATAAGGTAAATTCCATACCTGCACATGCACAGCTGAGCCATACAATGACTCCTCATGCTCAATTAGGCGCTGATGAAGAGTATGGTAATGATCCGTGTCAAAACTGACTACAGGTTCCATTTGAACTTCCAACCCTGCTAGTTGTGTCACAACATAGGAGGCCATGACTTGTCCAAATATTGCAGGGATGGAGCCCAGCACGGGTATGATTCGGACCCTAAAGCCTGGAACAATCTGGCAAGAGAATAAGATGTCAGCAATCTAAGTCATTGAATGTTTTGATAACAGACTCAAGGTGATCTCTGTTATTGAGCAACACTACAGAAATAATAATAATTGTCAAGGTGCAATCACATTACCAAACAATAGCAAATATACCAGTGGTATTATCAGCAGGTCAAAAATTAACAAAACCACTACTCTCACCTGATAGTCTGAAGGGTTTTCCTCTTCTCCACTTGGACCTTTAAATGGGAGCAACTTTACTTTGGGTTTCTCTAAAGAGAATACAACAGGAATACCGCCTTCAATGCCGTGATCTTTCCTCAAGCGGTGTCTTACCTAATAAGGGAATGATTATGTAACTATAGTCAGAAAGAGTAACAAAAGCAATATAAGCATAAGGGGAACATCACCCTAAAAAAGCTTTGCTCCCATGTTGGCTTTCATTTTCTTTTCATAACAACACTCATGTTGAGCATCAAGCATTGATATTCAAATTAGCATGAAGAATATGCCAAGAGGACAGTCTTGTCTAGATTACCCATGAATCTAGAAACTGATCTATAATCTATTGGTCTTCTAAAGATTCTTGCAGCCAAATGAATGCTAACCTTTGTGTGTGAATGCACTTATGTCTAAGCATCTTATTGAGCATATAATTGAATGTGAGAGAAGGCAAGATATCGGTTTATACTAACATAGGTGTACTAAAATACAACAGAGAAAGGAGAAAAAAGTAGCACAGTAAGCTGCCAAAGCAATTTACATTATGTGGTTTAAGGTCCAGTTAAATATAATATTAAAAAAGAAAATGTCAAAGTATTACAGCTCGAGATAATGGATCATTAGTGGACTCTCTTAGATCAGCAATTCGGATTCTTGTTGGATCAGCCCTCGCACCAGCTCCTGTAGCAGATAGAACCTTCAATCCCCTACGTACACATGCAGCAAGAAGGGCCACCTATTACAACCCACAAATCAAGCAACTGAAAATGAACTCATAATTATTAGATATTTGCATAGGAATGATTGCTAATGACAACTTGAAAAGAGAAAGACGAGCAGAAGGTAGCACTGTGTTATTAGGTCTCATCCTTCCAGGAAGCAACCTATGTACACATCTACAATCTTGCTTGATGCATGCTCAAATGCATCTTATTTCTCAGCAATTCTCACATCTGAGAGCTAGCATTAAAGTGAATAAAAAAATGATCTACTGATATAAAAGCAAAAACTCTTTTAACGATTACTGGGAATACTATCCATATTCGCAACAAAGCAGTAATTCCATCAAACTGGGGTATGTCCATGATGTATGAAAAGTTTTTCTTAAAAAGGGAGAATACTATCACACATCAACTAAGTAAAACATTGAGTAATTCAATAGAAGATACCTTTGTATCAATGTTGTCGATGCAGTCCAGAACAAAATCTGGGTGGCCTGAGAGAATTTCTTCTTCAGTAGATGCATCATATAATAGAACTTTCGCATCTACTTGGCACTCAGGAAAAATAGAAGAGAAATGCTCCATGAGGCACTGAGCTTTTGGGATGCCAACATCTGCTCTTGTTGCAACAGCGTGCCGATTTAGTGAAGAAAGAGAAACCTTCTCATTTAATAAATAAATGAGTACATCATTGTATCAAGATATCCATAAAGATTCTAATGCAACTAAATATGACATCACATATACAACTCCTTCCTAATTGATTACATGTTTCAACCAAAAAAAAAAAAAAAAGATCTATGGGCTTTTTAAGTCATACAATGGCAGATACTAGGGTAAATAAAACAAAGGCTTGTAAAGGTTTGATGAAGCGTTTAAAAATAGTGAGCAGGAAGTTAAAAAGCAAAAGCATCAGTTGATATTTGATTTAAGTCCATTTTCTTAAACCAATAATCAACATCATTTACATCTTTATTCTTTAGTTATCGATTTTTAGAACTTATATTTACCATGATATGCTCCTTATTACCAAGGGCCTCTAGCGACTGAAGGAAAATTGCTATAAATTAAACTTAACATACTGGGAACTGTTTGACAACTGACATCATGAAACATTATAATGTAATGTAACTTGGAACAAAAACCACGACTTATGGCACTTCATAAAATAAGAAAAATAAAAATATTGGAAAGCATACGTTAATTACAAACTAGACATCAGACAGAGGCTAAAACATTAGAAGTTTCAGGTTCTACACTTTTAACAATCAAAAGGAAACAAAAAGCACAAAACATACACGGATAACAAATTGAAACCCTACAAAAAGAAAGAAACGAAGAAAACAAAACATAAAGAAGGAAAGATATCGCAGAAAAAAACCTGGTCAAAGTCCACTAGAAGTAGCTTGCCAACCCCTGACCTCAAAAGCATAGATGCAGCATGACTACCAACACCTCCAAGGCCAATGACCACAACGTAAGATGCAGTCACTTTCCTTTGCGATTCAAACCCAAAGAACTGAATGTTCCTATTAATACCATGAATGTTCCGAGGGGGAAAAAACTGCTTGATAAGTAAAGACTCAAGAAAAGGACATCTCCCATAAACATGATTCACACCCCTAGAATGTGAAGATGTAATATAAATAAATTTATAACACTAAGTGGTGATTTAGAGAATAAAGGAGATGTTGTCTTTGCAATCACAAAAGACAGAGACAAAGAAAGCTTCACTCTCACTCAGCGGAACACTATTCCTAAAAAATAATAACTGCTATCTAATCAGCTTATTCACATTAAGCAGGCGTACAAAACATGCCACAAGCCTGTGCAACAATGGTAACTTAAATTTGTCTGCTTTATAGGTCTCAAGACTCGTTAAATCAAATAAAGCAACAACCTTTAATTGCCTATCAAAGCTAGTGAGACATATGCATGAGAGGAACCTCTGAAGTGACATCTAGACTAAATTAAAATGTCTAAACATATAGAATAACAACTACATTAGCCAAGTACCAAAAGGCCAAATATACATTGGCCTACCCAAATTTTTAGGTTATTAGCTAATTGTCTGCTATGAATAAGATCGTACACACATGTTGCCAAGGAGTTCCACGGTATAAAACACAGGGAGCTAGAGAAATAATTTCTTAAATGAATTTTGAGATTAAGAGGGACAACTTGAAGTACCTAGTCAGGTGTTCAGAAACAATCTCATCATTCAGAAGATCTTCGTCAGCCACCTTATCAATCCTTTTATGAGTAGCAATACATCCCTCCATACCTGTACAAGACACAGACCCAGAGTTCTAGCAAAACACAGACCAACAACAACCTATATTGATTCTCTGGCATGCAGTAGAATTTTGTACATGTAAGAGAACAAATTTCATATTACAATCTAGTTTATAATTGGAACACATTGAAAGTACTAATTAAGCATATTAGCATGCAAAAATGTGCATGACCTTGCAAAAGTACAATCGCCACATCATAAATGGAAGGAACTGCATCTAAATCTAAATAATTTACTATGTTCCATGTAACCATATTCAGATCCAACCTCCAGTTTGGCTAGTCAGCCCCTGCAAAACCCATTTTTCAGGAAGAATTTGTAATATGTATGTGGCAACAACAGAGTTCTCTAACTTGCTCATACCAATGATCATCTGAATGTTACTGCATCTGCTTGTTTTCTTTTTCTTATATTTCCCCCATTCTGTGCTTTATATCCATAAAAGCCAAGAAATTTCTTATCAGGCAAAGATTAAAGGCATCAGATAAGAACAAGATTAACTGAAACCAAACAAGTTGAAGCCAGCAGATCACTTACCGTTTAATTCAGTACTATTCTTACTCCATTGCTGTACACCTCGTCTGCAAAAATACAGACAGTATCGTTGAAATATGATGAATTCCACATCCCATGCAAGAGGCAACCATTAAACGTTGCATGGTATTTGAAAACTCCTCTATTCCCACCCTTAGTTTTCTTCTTGGCAGGCAACATCATGCCTCCAAAGACATAGACATTATATTATTGGTTAAGCTCGATTGATGGACACAAGGTTTCGAGTTTGCATCTACAACCCAGCTTTTTCTCCCGGAACCCACACTATCTTCGTCACATATACATTTAGACCCGAAGAGAAAAGGCACGAAACAGTTCACTTGCTCATGCTACAGGTTCGAAACAAACTTCAGCATCCAAAAAGATGATTTTTACACGTGCATTTCTTGGCAGACAAGGTGGTAGAGGCAGACTCACCTTTGAAGAAGCTTTAGAACGAAGATGGTAGACATAGAGCCCAATAGAGCCCCAGCTCCCACCAGTGCCACATACTTGGCTCTGTCCATCCTCTTTTGTATCCTTTTATCTGTGCTCGAAAAATAAGTTCATGCCAAAACAGCGTATTCGAGGTTTCCGAATCCTCAGGATTACACCGCACGCCGCCGTCCGTTAGCCGTTGTCTGGTTTGGGTGCGTTCTCTATCTTCGTGGAATCGGGACGCCGCCGTCAGTTGGCTCGAGTGAGTTCGGCCGGAATCAGCCAACGCTATGGGAAATTTGTAGGCGAGGAATTATATTTTTGGAAAAAATTTCAGCAGTGGACGTCGTAGCGAGTTTAAAAGAGTAAATTAAATTAGATTCTGATGAGTAATGATAATTAGGGGTTTATGCTGTTCCTATATATAAAAACATATTTTATATATTTATTAATTTTTTTAAATTAATACTATTTATATTTTCTCAGCAGAAAAAAAATAAAAAATATACTTAGAATGTTTTAAAAAAATACATCATATTACTTCCGGTCTTAATTATAATACCTTGTTTATAATTTACAAACAAGACCTTATAATTAAAATGGAGTAGTATTAACTAATTTAATAACATCTTTAATCAACTCAAATTAGTTAATTATATCTTATATTAAGGATCAGAGGAGTACTACCTCCCATTCTTATATGTTAAAGGTAGTTTTTGTATTGTAATAATTACACATATTAAATATTTCCTCAAATGTTAGTTCTAGCTAATATATACATATATTTATTATAAATAATTAATTTTTTTAACCTACTTAAATTAGTCAACTAGTTTTTATATTAAGGTAGTATTACAAAAAAGGAAAATATCACTCTTGCATCCCACATTATAATTCAAAATACAAGGAGTCCCTAACTGAAGCTTCATGTCTCTTAATTTATAATAAGTTTAATGCACATTTTGATAAATGCTCTTAATTTGAAAAATCCTCCCCCTCATGGTGGTCAGATAATGGCGCTGAAGTGGTAAAACTTGAGCTTTAGATATCTTGATTGCCAAAAAAAAAAAAAACTTATAATCATTGAGACAGCAAATCCGCTTAATTATATAACGCAAATTACTCGTATATATATAAAGTAAATTTAGATAATTGTTTTTTTAATAACAATTATCAATTTGTTATATTAAAATTGTTATTTCTCATTGAGGAGTTATTAGTTGAGTTAGTGGGAAAATGATTTTTTTTTTGGCAAAACAACAATTGAAAAAAAAAAGTTCAATGGAAGTGCTAAAATACTACTTCCAATTCTTAATATAAAAGCTAGTTTGACTTTTAATTTGGTTCTAAATATAAGACCCTAATCTATTGTCTCTATATTTATTCATTTTTCTCAAAATAGTTACATACGTTAAAGTTTTCATCAAATAGTAGTTTCAGCTAATACATATGATTAGTAAGAATATTTTAAGAAAGATAACACATATTTATAATAAATAATTAACCCAACAAACTTTCTTAATCTATATAAATTAGTCAAATAGCTTTTATATTAAAGACAGGATGCAATTTATTGACATGACTGAAAACAAATTTCTTGAATTAAAAGTTTGTTATGAAGTAATATTAATATATTGTATGACTTATTTCAAACTTGATGTAAAACACATGCACATTGTATGGTTTAGAGGTGAGGATTGAATAGGGCAGGAAAAAAGAACAATTTATTGACATGGAAATATTTTCCCTCTTTGGTATTTTCTTCAGAGGATGGTCTATATTATTTGGGCATTGATCACAAAGAATCTTGTGACCCAATACTAATTAATTTGTAAAGAATAAAGATAGGGTGAACCCTGTAAAAAATTAAAAAAAAAAAATTATAATTAACATGCGTCTTGTGTACTGCAATGTTTGAAAAGAAAAAATAACACCATTCAGCGATTGCTGAATTTTCACATCATGTATGCTTGTCTGCATACATGAGGTCACTTAATTGAGTGGGTAGGAAGGAAAAGTTAAATTATTTGAAAAATAATAAAATCCCTCTAAGATTGGTTTAATAAAAGCCTCAACTTCTCAAAAAGTTTGAACCCCACAATTCTCTCACAGCCAGATGAAAAACTTCTTAAGCAAAACCTAATTCTATCTCCCTAGTATTTATTATATAATTCCAAACTTATTTAACTTTTTATGAAATAAAATTCAATTAAAGGAATATTTTTATCTATAGCATTAAAAAGCCCACCCCTCCCCAGAAATAAACATAGATAATAATGCAATGCGGTTCTCCGTTGGCACAAGACAAACAAAAGTAATGTAATGCAGTCCTCTACTGATACAAGATTGGCTGCTATTAGGCAGGAGTTAAATGAAAAGTTTTACAAATTCCGAGTGTCCTACAAATATTAATGTACACAATACTTCAGCTTTAGGAACCAGATCATCTCATACATATTCTCAAGTATTAAGGGGGAAAAAACGAAATTATTCACAGGTGTTGTGCTCTCCAGTCCACAGCAAAATTATCATCGCTGTCCTCATCACTTGATGGCTCGTCATGTTTAGAATCCATTACCACCTCAGAAGTTTTACTATGCTTTGCATCTTTAGCAGCCTTCAACTCCAATCTTCTCTTCCTCAACTTCTCCACTCTCTCTCTGTTGTTCCTATAAAAAGGGAAGAGGGTAGGATAGAGAATTGGTAAAGGATGGAGTTCAGAAAAACATGAAGCAAGATGAAAGGGTTTGTGATGTATCAGAAAGTTAAGCATACCTCTGCTCTACAGATTCAGCTTCTTCAATCATTTCAGCAGCATCAATCTGCATTCGTAATGACAAACAAATCATTTTGCATGCTTGTAGTGCACATAATGAATGAATACTAATTAGAAATAGAGCAATAAGGATATGACAGTCATCACCTCTTCTTCTTCAAACCGGTTATCCACCTCCAGCAAGTCGTCTTGAATCAACTTTTCAAATTCTTTGTACTCGTCCCTGATAGAGGATTTACCAAAATCCAACATTATTCTATGTTCCGATCTCTTGAATAACGCAGGAAAATAGTGCATAAGACAATTAATAATTTAAGAGATAAGTAACAGTATATTCCGGACTAGAGTTTACTCAGGAACTTGTCAATCCAGTACTGAGTACTGACAATCAAACTAACATACGATAACATGGACCATGTCCATCATCTTATTAAATTTCCCCCAATTTGTCAATCAAAAGAACCATGAAAAAGGGTGGAAACTCTGAACGGGTGTAGCTTGACGGTGAGTGTTCCAATCATCCCAGAAGCATGCACAGCGCAAGCAACAAATGGTCCAAAATCCATACCTTCCACTTCAGGAACATGGCATGGAATGAAATCACGACTAGAAAACACACTAGCCACGATTCTGTGACTTACAGATTAGGGTGCTTGAAAAGCATGTTTAAACCATTCTTAGTTCTCATTTAAAGTTTCTTCAAACAGCTCTACCAGCCTTCCTACCAAGTTAGTAGTCACCATTCTTTACAACAATACGTACCAAAATTAAAGATACGGTTTTCACTTCCTAGAGCCATTAGGGACCTATTTATAATGTATTTCGTTCAGACCCCTCCATTACTACCTGATCGTGCCCACGTATTATTTGTTACAGAATAGCAGCATAGCTACAGGCATTCTGCTCAACAGAGCTACATTCGTGGAACAGCCAACAGCTTGATGTTTATGATTCTTTCCACAAGGCATCAGCACCCTTTAGATCCTTCAAGAAAAATTCTTAACCAGATAATATAACTAAAGATCTAAATGGACATAATGATATTGGCATCACATCTATCATCCTTAGCAATCACACAACTGCTGTTGAAAGGGGCAATCCGTCACAAGTTTAAGTAGGTTAATTCACAACATTAAAATAGGAATTCATTGCCCTGTGATCAAAGTTGAGTCAGGCCATTTGCAATTTCGCCTAAAGGAAATTAGGACTTCCATTAAACTTAAACTTCCTTGTCTTCTCCTTTCATTTCAAATGTTCATCCATCAACTTCCCAACTAGAAAACTGATTTTTTCACTCTTTCTTTTGTGCAGACAGTTGCACTATAGGAAGCTCTAATTCAGGAACTTATATATATATATATATATATAACAAGGTAAACAATAAATTGAAGTATAACAATTATCATCATGTTTCAACTTAAAGGCAACCATTATAGTAGAGCAAATGCAAATACAACATGAAGCAGGAACCTACTTGACATCAGGCTTAACAGGTTTTATGCCTCGAGCACGCAAATCAGCCTCCTTGTTATCAAAAAACCCTTCAGGAAGAATCCCTTTTATTTGTTTGGCTTCTGTATCACCTGGCGTGCTTGATGTCTGCCTAGTCTCGATTGCTTCCTGACTTCCCTTTGGCTGTGCTGCATTATTGATATGCAAGCCACCTTTTACCTTCTCTGAGTTTAGTGCTTGGCTCTGAATAGAAATCCCTGTCCTTTTATTGGAATCAGGGTCCACCAACTGGACAGAGTCCTTTTCTGCAAGCAAACAACGCATTCAATTCTTCAATATGGTTTACCTTGAATTACTACTTATTGAACAAACAGTCAAGTGAACAGAAGTGTCAAATAAAGGGTCATCAAAATACATTAAGCAGCAGAAAAAGGTCAAAGGGATTCTGAAGTACAAATGGGATATAAGTACAGGCTCATCAAAGATCATATTTTAAGCATTACAATTTTTTGTTAGAAGGGACTAAGGATCCAAAATTGTTGAAGGTTTAAAAATTATTATTTGTAGCAAGAGATACTAAGGATTTAGGAAAGAGTTACTAGGAGCGCATCCAATGTAAAAAGTATCAGTAGCATACTGTGGTCATAGTATTAGACTTTCGGTATCAGTAAAGATGGAGAGATAAATATTATATACAACGGCATTGAGCCTTTCAATGAAGGACAGACCTAGGGTTCCCGTTTTTTTTTTTTTTTTTTTTTTTTCAAGGGAAGGTGGGGAATTAAATATTCACACGTAGCAAGATCTATATAAAAGTTCTACACTAGCATACATATACATAAATGTGCACGCATATATATTAAAAATAAACATAAACATTTTGATGGTAACACATTGTGAGAGCGGTCCTTCGGTAACAAGTCAAATATCATGGTAGGTTTATGTTAAGCTTAAAATGTAACCAAAAGGGAGGGAGATTGAGTTTAAAAGTAAACAGATAACTCCAAATGGTCCCACTCATTCTAAAGAGACAAGTAGAGATTCATGCAAGGTTAACAACGCGTGAAAAGAAGTCACCATAAATGGAGGAGGATACTGCTAAGTATGATCTTCTGTTCAAAATGATTTATCTGGCAATCCCCAGTATTCCAAGCAAAAGAGTGTGTGTATTTGCGTACAACTTTATTTGTCTAAACTGAATCCTTACCTGATCTTGGCTTTCTAGCATCATTGTTATCAAAAAAATCCGGCGGAAGCACAGATGATGGCTGAGGTTTCAGCGATTCTTGTGAATGATTGGGCATTTTAGATTGTGATTCTGACGCATGCTCAGGTTTAGGCTTAGGCAACTTGGCATCAGCAACAGGCTTTGCATGACCTTGCTGCGCCAATCCAGCTGCGTTAGCTTTAAGATTACTTATTGCCTGTCACCATGAAAATACATGAAGAAGGAATTAGCCATCAGACTTATTCCACTACCTACTTGAGGAGAAATAAGTTAGATGTGAAACAAAGGGAAAGGAAAATAGACCACTATAAGACCTTGTAAAAAAAATTTTGTGCACACAATTATAAAACGCTAGTGCCATCAATGTTTTGACGTGTCACGACATCTGCACAACATCAATGAGATTGTAACATGTCATCACCTCACGATGCTTACGAGAAATTTGGTGTGCATCCCAATTAGATTCATGCTTCAGCACGACATCACAAACCCGGCAGACTGGCTGATCAAATTCGTTATACCTGTTAAAATATCCACAAAAAGACAGACACTTTCAGAAAGTTCTGCTTGAAAGGCTAAAATGTTCCATCAGATCATCATTGGTGCTCTTGCTTTCTGGGTTGTGCGATAATCAGAGACAAGCATATTGATGCACAGTAGTGACTATGTACCACTGAAAATAAATAGCTAGCAGCATATAAATTAACAGAAAAATAACTAAATTAACAAATGGACACTGCAGAATGAGGATGTTAAAAGACTTTGCGATTTTATTTTTCTTGGTCGATGATGAGGCCTAATTGTTGACGAAGAGTATGCAAACTAGTTAGACAGTGAATCCAGGACAATACAAGTACGAGGCAAGCAATCCTAGCTGCAACTTATCAACAGCCAGTTAAAACGAGATTCATGAATGAATGAGCAGAGGATCCATTTGGCTGAGCGGAGCACACCAACCTCACAAGAGGGGACTCTATGCGCTTTTCCTTCTTCTGAGCATTTAATTTAGCACGAAATAATGCCTTTTTCTGGGCTTGAGCATCCATTTTCTATTCTTCGAAGTAAGTACGTCGTAAAGGAATCAAGAGGCGAAGAAAAATTGAAGGATTAAACCTTTAACCAGGAAAACTGCAAAACAAATGAACGAATAGGATTATTCATCTTCGCGATTCGCCCTTCAAATGGAGAATTCCATCTCAGTTCAAAAATTGCTAGTGTTGCCTCAAAACAACTGAAGGTTTCGTTTTTCTTTTCTTCTCTGTGCTCTCTCCTCCACCTCCTCCTTTTCAATGGCAAGAAGCAAGGACATGGGTTGGCATTCGCAAATTGGAGGCCCTTGCCCTTCGTCTTGGGCCTGCAACATAATGTTTTTTTTAAAAAAAATCTTGTAAATTACCTCAAAAATGACTGTTAATTCCAAAATTTTAAACTAAAAATTACTAAAAAAATATATTATCATTTATTTTTTTAATTGTAGTCATTTTTTCACAACTATAGTAATTAATAATGATTTAAAATTTTAAAATTCAACAATTATTTTTTTAGGATTTTCCCAAATGTACATTTTTATAATTAACCAATTATTTTTAGTTATTTGTTATACATAATCAACTATTTATATTAATAAAACTTACAAAATACTATCTCTTATTCTTAATATAAAAACTAGTTTAACATTTAATTTTATCCTAAATATAAAATCCTAATATAAAAACTGGTTTGTTACTAGAATATTAGAAAAAGTTAATATTTGTCCTAAATATTATTTTATTGCATCCTAAATAAAAAAGAGTTAATATAATTTTTATCTTTAAAATTTGCTTTCATTTTGATTTTAATCTTTTAAATTTCAAATCATAAATTTTGGTTTCTCAAGTTTTTTTATTTAAAATATTGGTATCTATAATTTAATAAAAATTTGAACCATTTTGTCCTGGAAGTACTAAAACTTATGGTTTGAAACTTGAGGAACTAAAACTAAAATAAAGATAAATTTGAGAAACTAGAGATTATATTAAAAACCAGTGATATTGATATTGACTATGCTTCTTTGAGTCATTATTTAAATAAAAAATCATTTGAAGATCAAATCGTTCTATACTTCGACAAAATCATCAATATGTTATGCTCGTCCCCGTCTTTTTTATTTTTAAATTTTCATAAGATTATGTGATATTTTTAATGAGTATTAAATATGTTTTTTTTTCCATGTACACACACTCATATTCAGTAAGAACAGCGAAAAAAAGGTAGAAATTAATATGATATATCAGGTTAATGTAATTAATGGGAGTAATGTTGTTTATTACTTGAATCTCATGACTAATTAGATTTAATACTTTTAACTGATCTTTTTAAACGTGTAAATTAGTTAAAAGAAGAAGCAAGTGTAAAACTAAAAAGTTTTATTTTTGATTTATTAACATAACATTAATAGCAAAACATTTCAACTTTTCAGGCCTTTTGGGCTTTTACGGCCCAAATTTAGGGTAAAAGCGCATGTGGGGCATTTCATTCAAACATTCCATGGAAGAATGGTCATCTGTATACCTCTGCCGTTAAAATTTTTTTTTTTTTTTAAGATACGCATCACAATTTTCATGATGATGACCGGGCGAATTTTTTTTTTTTTGGTACAAAGAAGGCTTAAAACATAGAGCTAGCCTATGCTGGAAGTAGATTCCAGACAGTCATTCTCCATGAGACTTCTCAAGTTGCTCGGACAAGTATCAAAATAGGAGGAAATCGAGATTCCTTGTTTTGCTAGTTTGTCTGCAATTCCATTAGCATTCTAGCAATATGGCAAAGCCTTACCTCCCAGTCAAACTTCAGTAACTCGGTGATCTGTATCATCAGTAAACTGTTATGCCGGTTGGAGGTTTCCTGATTCAGTGAGTCAATCAGATTTCTAGCATCTGACTCCAAAATGATATGTTTAAATCCAAAATCCCAAGCCAATTTCAAACCCTTATAGATGGCCCAAGTCTCGGCTTCCACAGCATTGCATAACCCAAGTTGAAAAGAGAAACCCACTATCCAATTTCCCTGATGGTCTCTAACACTTCCTCCACATCCAGCCTTTTGTGAGTTTCTTGACACCGCACCATCAACATTAACCTTAACCCAGCCTTCAGGAGGTTTTGTCCATAAATTAGTATTATCCAGATTTTGCATCCTACCACCGCCTTTCACAATTGACTTAGCAGCAGTAGAATTCTTCCAACTATAATTAATTACTACAATTGGATTAATAGGCCTTTCAGCATCCTTGACGAAAGTTGCTGCATTCCTCCAATTCCACAGCTTCCAAACTGTAAATCCCCATATTAGATCCCAGTCTTCATTTCCATTAACACCCATCTTATCTTTGAGGTTGATAGAAATCCAATCTCTTAAGGAGACTGAATAAAATCTGTTCACATGTTTATCATCCACAAAATTATTCCATATAGCCTTTGCATAATCACAGTCTCTAAGAACATGTAAAATACTTTCTACTTCATTAAGGCAATAAGAACACATGGGGGAACATTGAGACCATTTACTTCTCCATAAGTTCATGGGAAGTCTTCCATGAAAAATCTTCCAGATGAAGAAGCGAATTCTTTCAGCACCTCTCCATTTCTAGATAAATTTATAAACTGGGTTATACAGAGATTTTGGATTCTCTTCAATCATATAATATGCACTCTTGAGAGTAAACATACCAGAATTTGAGGCTTTCCACACTATGCAATCCTCTCCAGCAGCGTCAAAAGGAGGCATCACTCCAATAAGTCTAGTTAGAACCTCAGGCTAAACTATATTTTCCAGCTTATTAAAATTCCAAGTGCCAAACTCTACCCAATCTCTCACCATACTGTTCTCCTCTCCAACAGATAGAGGTCTTCGACAAAAATCTTTGATTTTTTTTGTCATGAAACAGCCAATAATCATTGAAAAAATTAATTGACTTTCCATTCCTCAGTTGCCATTTAGAGCCTTTGTCAATCACCTCTTTCTGCTTACAGATAAACTTCCAAAGATTTGAGTCTCCTGGACCAGCTTTAAAAAGGTTTTCTTCATTATGCACCATATATTTCTGATTCAACACATCAGCCCAAAGACCCTTCTCTCCTATCATCAATCTCCAGGCTAGCTTTGCACCACAAGCTGAATTAACTGAAGCTAATTTCTTGAACTCGAGGCCACCATAGGATTTAGGCAAAGTGACATTTTGCCACCCTATAGGATGATATGCGTGTTTATCCTGATTATGTCCCCATATAAAGTCTCTTTGTAATCGTTTCACTTCCTCACAGATCTTCATTGGAATTTGAGATACTTGCATTGGATACATTGGGATTGAACTTAATACAAACTTAGCCAAAGTAATACGGCCTGCAGTAGACAGACTCTCCATTTTCCAGTTAGCTAATTTGGCTCTGACCCAATCAACTATATACTGAAATTTTTCAGTACTCCTTCTATTCTTTGATAAAGGAAAGCCAAGATACTTCCCTATTTTTGCAGAAACTTTCATTTGTGTTATCTCTTTGATTTTCCTCCTAATTTTCGTATCAACCTTAGGAGAGAAATATAAAGAGGATTTGCTTCTATTCATCTTCTCTCTCGAAGCCTGAGAGAATTGATCCAGAACTTCCATCATACAAGTAATTTGTTTCTCAGAGGCAACTCCAAAGAGCAGCAGATCATCAACAAACATTAAATGAGATATAGAAAGACCATTCTTTGCGATTGAAATAGCCTTCCAACGACCATTAGTAACAGCATCACAAATGAGATGGGATAGCCTATCCATGCATAACACAAAGAGAAGGGGAGAAATAGGATCTCCTTGTCTAAGACCTCTCTTAGGAGTGAAAAACTCAGTTGTTGAGCCATTCCACAAAACATTATAAGTTACTGAAGTTACACAAGCCATTACAAGACCCACAAACTTATCTTCAAAGCTAGCATCATAGAGCACAGTGCGAATAAAACTCCAATTGAGCCTGTCATATGCTTTTTCAAGATCAATTTTCATCGCTACAAGCCCTCTTTTCCCTTTAGCCTTACTCATCATATGCATGATCTCCTGGCCAATCACAATATTATCTTGTATATGCCTTCCCTTGATGAAACTGGATTGGAAAGGGGAAACTAAATCATTCATTACAGCTTTGAGTCTCTGTGTAATGACTTTGGTTAAACATTTGTAATGAACAGTACAAAGGGAGATGGGACGAAAATGTTCAACTAGTTGTGGATTTTCTCTTTTTGGTATAAGAGAAATTAGAGTTTTATTAGAATTATCCACTGTCAAGGATCCTTCAAACATACCTTTGACAAATCTGCAAACAGATGGACCCACCACCTTCCAATTGTGTTGAAAGAAGATAGGTGAGAAGCCATCCAACCCTGGGGCTTTGTAACTCATAGCAAATAAAGCAGATTTAATTTCCTCCTCAGTAGGTAGAGAGCTCATAGAAGCCAGCAAGGTTCCATCAACTCTAGGAAAGTTAGCTGTAGTTTTCAGAACATTGCAACTCATCTCATCAGATGAGAGCAGCCTTTTAAAATAATTAACTACTAGTTCTTTCAGTTGCACTTCATCATCCAGCCAAGCACCTTGTTCGTCCTTTAAGGAGAGAATTCTATTCCATTTCCATCTCCTATGAGTTTTAAGATGGTAATACCGAGTATTTCGATCCCCTCTTGTTATCCACTCAGATCTGGATTTCTGGAACCATTTAATCTCCTCTAAACTAAGCACCTCCTCCAATTCAGATTGCAATTCAGTTTCCAAATCAACAAGGAAAGAAGAGTATGGGTAAGCTTCAGCCTTCTGAATCCCTGCCAATCTAGCAAGAATATTCTTCTTCTTTTTTTCTATAAAACCAAAGACCTCCCTATTCCAAACAAGTATGGAATCTTTAAAATTAGACAGACTTTTATTAATGTCCTCGTCCCGTATCCAGGATTTTGCCATAAAGCTTTGGAAGTTCTCATGTTCAATCCACATAGCTTCAAAACGGAAAGGTTTGGTACCTCTAAATTGAAGATTCTCAGCATCCAAACACAAAATCAAAGGATTGTGATTAGAAAAATTTGTACGAGGGCGTACCTTTACTAAATAGTTATGGAAAGTAGACATAAACAGAGCATTACCCAGAGCTCGGTCTAGTCTCTGATACATTCGAGAGCATCCATTCAGCTTTGGCCCTTTCCAAGTGAATTTAGGACCTTTGTAACCCAGATCTGTCAAACCATAATCCTTTGTTAACACA